TGGGGGGTACCAGGGATCGAACTTGGGTCCTTGTGCTTGCGAGGCAGGCAGCGGAACCACTGAGCTAAATCCCCAGCCCTCTTTTTTCTTTTCAGACAGGGTTTCACTATGTAGTTCAGGCTGGGTTGGAATTCAGTATGTAGCCCAGGCTGGCCTCAAACTTGCAGTGATCCTCTGGCTTCAGCCTCTTGAGTGCTGGGATTAGAGGTGTGTGCCACCACATCTAGCTACAATTCCAACCTTACAGGTATGAGAAAAGAAGCTCAGACCTGTAACTTCCCCAGTCACATGGCCAGTTTAATGGAAGTGGCAGAGCTGGGGTCTGAACAGGGCAATCTGACTTCATTCATGCATTCAACAAATATTTATTCAGCACCCATGAGGTGCCATACACAGTGACCATGCTCTAAAGTTTTCTGATGACACTCAACACAGCCCTACAGGGCCCCCACTTCTCCTCTGGAGGCAGGAGAGAAGTGTTTTCCCCCTGTAGCTGAGAAACGGGCACTCTGGTGTCACAGTCACTGGCTTCCTGGGACCCAGATCACTCTCCCCAGGTTGCTGTTGTTTAACTGTGAGTGATGCCCAGGGTTACCTTTCGATGTTTCTGCATATGTTCTTCATAATTGCGGATCTTGACGGTCAGGGCAACAACTGAAACCACAAACCACAGAGGATGAGAGCCAGGCACAGAGGAAGGAAGGGCCCAGGCTTGTGTTATGTTTTAAGAACTGAAAGAATAACAATCACCAGTGCTCTTCTACAGCTCTCTGTAAGTCCCAAATCCCAACCACTTTGAATTTCACAATCTTGAAACTTTGGATTATTTTTGTTCTAGAAAGCAATGTCTAAGGAAAGGAAATTCCTTACTCTTATGAAAGTATCACCCCAAATCATAGTAAATGGCTTTTTTTTTTTCCCTCCCAGTACTGGGGATTGAGTACTGAACTCAGGGCCTTCACATTGAGCTATACCCCCAGCCCTTTTTAATGTTTTTATTCTGAGACAGGGTCTCTTCAGCTGCCATGCTTATCTCTGTGCTTTCACCACCTACTTTTCAGAACTATCAGCTCCACTTGTCTTCTGAGGCCCTGGAATACTGGCCCTCTTATTTGGTTCCCATTTGTATTGGAAAGATGGGGACAGAAGCAGAAGTCAGCCACTCGGGGAGGTGGCCACCCCAGGAGGCCCGTCCCAGCACACACACTGAGTTCTGCGAACCCTGTTGAGAGTGTCTTGGGGACCTTGGCCCTGACCACACGGCCCTTCCTTACTACCTTAGCTGCAGAATGAAGAGACTGAGAGATGGGCTTTGGCTCCTGAGGGGTTCTCCAGGACAGACTCTGAGCTACAAACAACTGGATTCAGAAAACTGAGTAATCCTGGAAAGGCAGCACCAATCCAATAGCAAGACTGCTCGGTTTCAAGTCTCAGCCTTCACTTCCTGGTCTCAGCCTTCACTTCCTAGTCGAGAGCCTCAAGGAGTAATTTAGTCACTCCACAACTAGACTGTTCCTCTGTGAAATGGCAAAGAGAGATAGTTGTAATGGTTAAATGAGATGATACATGTAAAGCATTCAGCATGGGGCCTAAAGACTTTACATACATCATGCTGGCTGCTATTATTATCATCATCATTATTCCTAGGGTTAAAGCAACCCTAATTATTACCTCTCTGGCTGGCAATAGGCCACCTACTCCTGCCTACCTGGGAGAGTTTGGCAGTGGTAACACAGAAACAGGGGAGGTGAGATCCTTTTAGTGGCTGAGATGGCCAAGGGAAGCTGAAACTTATCTTCCCAAAAGGGAATATGGAGCCTTCTCCATGGGGCCTCTGGACTTTCTCCATAGGGTTTAGTAAACAAGAACTCAGCTGACTTTAATTTCTGGCAGAGGGGGAAGAAAAGAAGGTGGGGATGGGGAGGAGGCAGAGGTTGTAATAACAGAAAGGAAATGTCCACCAAGCTACCTCACTGCTCCTAGTAGTCAATGAAGATAAGCTCCACCCAAAGCAAGGGGTAGTGGTAGTGGGCTTTTTACTCACATCTAATGAGAAAGCCAGTTTCAGCTCAAAAACAAAGCAGGAATGTTCCGCCTGTCTATCTGGTACATGAAGATTCTATGATCGTTAACCTTACTATTATTATCACTAAAGTGTGAGTTTTAGTTTCCAAGGCATGTTTACACCCCCTCCCCTAGCTTCTCACAATCCTGCCACAGGGTAGGTGGCAGTAACTCTGCCTGCCCCAACTGTCCCTAATTTTAGATTAGGAAGCAGAGGCTTCAGAGAAGACTGGTGACTTTTTCAAGCTCAGAGGTACAAGGCAGGACCTGGGTGTTAATGTCAGCATCACAGAGCAATGGGACCCAGAGTCCAATTGTCATTGTCCTAGGTCCTTCATGTCTCTCCCTTTCCCAAGCCATATATAAGTGGGTTTGTGCATAAGAGTCCTAGCTAGCAGACTCCCCTGGACACCCACTACCCGAGGGCTCCTTGACCAACTTCGAGTTTCCAGAGATTTGGTGTCCTCAGGGTTTGCCATGACCTTGTTCATCAGCAATTCTTGCTTGATTTTTAGCATCTCTTTCTGTTGAAGACAGAGATTGAGAAAATTTATACAGTCTTCCACCTCCTAAGATCTAACCCGCCTGTTCCCAAGGCCATGGCTACTATTATTACCACTAGGCCCAAAAGGCTAGTGGACTGGGCTGCTAACCATGGCATCAGCTAACCACATGGCTATTCATATCTACGTGAGCCCAATGCCAAAGACACTGAGAAATCACTTGTTGGATGAATGTTCTCAAAGTTTGCAAATTCATTCATGCACACATCTTTATGGAGCATCTGCTGTTGTCAGGTGTCAGGTACAATGGAGAAACGAAACTGTCCCTGCCTTTGAGGTGGGTCAGTCTGGGGGTATTGACACATGGGCACAGAATAACAGTGGCTAAGTGCTGTGACTGGAGTAGCATGAGATAGGGGTGCTAACCAGGGGAGGGAGTCCAGGGGAGAGGACTGAGGGAGGCGATGGCTGAGATCTGGCACAGGGACTTACCCGGCTGGCCATTTCCAAAGACAAGAGTCTTTTCACAACATCGTCAACCCTATGGAAAAACAGGAGCAATGAGAGGCAAATATAGGAGGAGAGAGGGAAGGGGAAGAAATGCTGTTTTCATTTTAGTTTTAAAATCAAGGATTAAAAAAAAAAGCAACTGGGCCGGGGATTTAGCTCAGTGGCACTGTTCCCATCTCGAAAGCACAAGGTCCTTGGGCTGGGCTTTAGCTCAGTGGTTCTGGTGCCTGCCTCGAAAACGCAAGGTCCTGAGTTTAATTCCCGGTTCCAAAAAAAAAAAGCACAAGGTCCTGAGTTCGATCCCTGGTACTGAGGAAAAAAAAAAGAAAAAAAGCAAGGATAGCTGGGTATGGTGGTGCACACCTTTAACCCCTACTACTTGGGAAGCTGAAGCAAGGACTATAAGTTTGAGGCCTGCCTGATCAACTTAGGGAGACCCTGTCTCAAAATAAAATTTAAGAGAGGGCTAAAGATGTAGCTCAGTGGTAACTTGCCGAACACTTGCAAAGCCCTGTGTTCAATTCCCAGGACTGAAAAAAAAAAAAAAAAGATGATTAATAATTCCTTCTACAACAAAGGCTCTCTGGAGGTGGAGAGCCATTTCCCAGGGATTAAAATCAGCATGGGGAACTGAGGGTGTAGTAGCTCAGTGGTAGAGTACCTGTCTAGCACATGTGAAGCCCTAGGTTTAGCCTTCAGCACCTTAGGGGTGGGGGCGGAGAGGGGACAGCATGGCTCTGGCTTGCTGGGCAGAGAATGGATTGTTGTGATAACTATAGAAAATGGGGTGTCAGCTCAAGTGTTTTAGTCTTGTCACAGGAAGGAAAAGAAAGATTTCCATTTCAGCTAAAACATGGGTCCACTCTGTTTTGTAATCCCAGCACTTGGGAGGCTGAGGAAGGAGGACTGAGTTCAAGAGGAGGACTGAGGTCAAGAGTTCAAGGCCAGCCTGAGCTAGACAGTTAGTTCAAAGCAAGTCTGAACTACATAGCAAGACCCTGTTTCAAAATATAAAACAAAACAAATCTGTCTTGAGACATTCCAAGTTAAACTACATATGAGTGAGACTGGAAAGACAGCTTTGCTACCACCATACAGGAGCTGAGCAGGAGGATCCTGGCTTTGGCTGCAGTCAGCCTTGGATTCAAGCCCCAGTTCTGCTTCATAAGAGATGTATGTCATGTGGCAGCTTCATAATCCACAAAATGGGGACATTCTTCCTTCAGAGGGCTTTTGTGAATATCTGGAGATGAGACATTTCTACAAAGTCCTGTAAGGCATGTTAGCTCCTTGGTATCTAGTGGTACAAGGTCTTTACCTAGAGTACCAAAAAAAAAAAAGGCAAGTAACTGGAGTCCACTGCCACCTACTCACCCTCAGCATTCCTGAGTCTCTACAGCTCTCTGCCCTATTCTCGCTTTGTTTTGTTTTTGGTACCAGGGATTGAACTCGGGACCTTGAGATTTCGAGGCAGGCGGCAGAACCACTGAGCTAAATCCCCAGCCCTTCTCTGCCCTATTCTATAATCAAGCTTCTAATACAGTAGGCCACGTCTCAAAGCCACTCTTTCCCCATTTCCCTCGAATGCTCCCAGGGCCCCATGCCTCCTCAAGTAGGTTTCTCGCTGCTTACTTCTCAATTCCAGGAATGTTCTTGTAGTCCTTGAGCAGCGTGGAAGAGGGTGGGTCACTGTTGTGGCTGGGCTGGACTGTCATGCATAAGGATAGGAAATACTCAGAGTCAACTCTCATTGCTCATTCTCCTAGTCTTGGCTTTTCTGGCCCACTCCCCAATTCTATGAGGGACACCTAGGGTCTCAGGCAGGGCACTGGATATCTCTAAGCTCAGTTTCTCCTCTGCAAACCCTGTGGGCACCTGCTTTCATATTTCGTGCTCGAAGTAGATGTCCTTTCCCAAGACCATGTACTCTATCTGCATCCCTCTCATACCTGCCTACAGTTAACAAGTTCCCTGTGAGGATGGGTTCCTCTGTGGACAGAATTGAATTTGATTCACTTTGAACTCTCCACAGTCTGGTCCATGTCCCACTGTAGTGTAGGAACTCAAGAAATACTTGCTGGCTGACATCATGAATGAAATAAGGAGGTTGAGGAAAGATGGCTAGATTTAGGGTGACACCCTGAAGCATAAGCACCAAGTATAGGTACAGAAAAAGCTGTATCCGAGTATAGGATACAGAATAAGCTCAACTTTGTCGCGTGTATTCTGCAATCCCTCAGAGGTGAGGGAGAGGCACAGGGTAGATAAATTTGTTCTCTCCAGTCAGACTCTGTTCTGTGTTGTGCAAATAACACTAATAAATATCGATTTATCTATCATCTATCTTATAATTCACTGAACACGGTGCTAAGGATGCTTTTCCCGTGTTATCATGGGATCCTAACAGTAATGCTCTCCAGTGGAGACTAATATTCTAGAAATGAGGCTCAGAGAGGAAAGAACTTGTCCAAAGTAACTAGTAAGAGGGATCTTACACATACTGCCTTGGAATGGGATGCTACACCCTCCATCTCAGAGGGGCGGATACAGTGCTGTACTCTAGGAAGGTCTATGTGGTGCCAGCCATCACTCACTCTGGCGAGCTGTTTTCACTCATGTCCAATGAAAGCTTTTACTCTTCCTCATCACGAAGGCTTCTGACTTAGGGCTCTGTATAATGTGGATGTGAAGGTCTTCTGCTCAGGACCTCTGGACCACTCCTTTGCCCACTCCATCAAGTGGCTCTAACTTGCCACCTATGTCCCTTTGACCACCTCCACCCTTCCAGGCAGTCTCTCTTCTGCCTGGAGTCTCACCCCAAGACCTTCCTACCTGGTTTCTGGATGGCATATCCACGAGCAGCCTGTAGAAGACCTAAGCAGAACAGAGAGGGCTGAGACTTTTCTCAAGAGTCCAGCTCGGTTCCTTTCTACGCACACTTCCTTCATAGTCTGTGTGCCCCTGAGTCTGTCCTCCCATTTCCCCCCAACCTCACTGCCCCATTTCTCTCCCACCTTGTCCCACTTCTCCAACCACCATTATTTCTCCCGTAGCCTGCCGATGCTCTTCTTCCCTATCCCGGTGCCTGGCTATCCTTGATCTCCGCCGAACCCCATTTCCCGACCCGTTTCTCGACTCCTCACTTTGAGGCTGCAGGCCCCACTGGCCTGAGGGAAGCCTGACACTCCTTTTGCCTGGGAGGCCAAAGACTGGGGCCTGGGTCGCTGCCCGGGATCCAAATGAACTCAGTGCCCTCCACGTAGCCCTCAGCATGGTGACTTCCAACCCCCACGGGGCCCGCGCCACGACCACCGTCCGTTTCAAGGTACAGTTCGAGTCACACGGACGCCGCCATGATGGGTCAGGCTCGACTAATCGAGGCGGTTGCGCGACAAGAGTAAACGAGAACCGAGAGAATGGATCGGCGGGCAGGACTCGGCAGGGGACTCGGAACCTTGGGTGGAGTTTAGAGGTGTGAATAGCAGTAGGTCAGATTGAGGAAATGACGCTGTGGCCAGTGGAGTGCGGTGCTCTAAAATGTCACTTTTTCTTGGACGTGGATCCCGCTCTTAATTCCTCCCTACATTCGTGGTCTTGGGCCCCAGTTACTTGGGGGTTTGAGGTCAACCCCCACCCGCTTCTTATTCTCCTTCCGCCCTCGCGCATTGCTGGGGATTCAGCCCTGTAAGAACAACTGAGTTTCAGTCTCTTCTCTGGCAACCTTGTAGGTTGGTGACTGAGGTCGCTGGGCTGGGTGACAGCATGAATGTTAGTCAGACCTAGTCAGTCAGTTAGTGACTAGGTGACCTTGTGGGCGAGTGACTTGAATGTTCTGGGCCACGCTGTACTCATCCCTCAAATAGGAGATGGTAATAACAGCCTGTGTTTTAGGTTGTATCGCAGATTAACTGAGGCAGTTGTGTGCAAAGTATGTACCTAGTTAAATAGTATTCAATAATGATTAGCTGTGATAAATTTGTGAAATGAGGGTTCTAAGGGCAAATATAAATAAAAAATGAAAAATAAAATTTAATTCTCCCTGTGCAAAAAGATTCTCATCCTCCCAGTTTTCTTAGAGCATTTTCTTTAGTTTGTTTGTTTTTTGGTACTAGGATCCGAATTTGGGACCTTGTGCTTGCAAGGCAGCCGCTGGAACCACTGAGCTAAATCCCCAGCCCTTAGAGCATTTATTTTAGAAGACTTGTAATTGTGAAGTGTTTCTCTACTCTTTTGAGATATATGGAAATCTTTTTACAAGCTAAATAAACCTCTTTCCACTCTCACAACCGAGGAATGTTTTCCTCAAGGACCTCGTGTTATCCTCAAGAGTGATAGTGCTCTCTTTTTCTCTAAAGGGGAGGGTAGAACTCCAACTTCAGCTGAGGCTGAGCTCAGAGTTGCAAATCTTTCTGTGATAAAGATGTGAGGAATGTACTTTTACTCTGGATAAAGGCAATTAACAAACACAGGTAGTTACCCCTTTACAAGTGAATTTAGGATGAACTGTGTGTGATAATTGGTGCTATTAAGTCCTCCTACTTGAGCACTAGTTATTGTTTATCTTAAGAAAGAATGTGCCGTGAGTTGTATCCACTTGGCATATAAATGTTAAGATTTCTTTCTGTGTTTGTAAACTCTTTTTTTTTTTTAAGGTTTCAAAACATTTATTTTTGACTCAGTGTGATCACAGAACAAGATTCCTGTTTAAGCACGTTTAACTGTCCAGCCAATCGTATTTAAGCTTGATATGGTAATGTAATCTCGACCATGATAAAGAATGTATCATTTTGTGACTCCAGGGAGAGAAATGTGCTGCATCTCATGTTCAATTCTTTACAGTCCCAGCTTGGTCCTCCTCCAGTGTCTCCTCTTGGAGTTGTACCTGATTTTATTACCAGTCTTCATCTGAATCCATTGAGGAATGGGAGGATTCTGCTTTTGCTTCTTGGCCAGGAATCGGTTGATTCTCAAAGTCTTGTGAGAAGACATGGTTAGGCTCGGAGGCAAGCGCATGCATGCGATTGTGTTTGTAAACTGTTTAGTGGATTGTCTGCTGTGAACGTCACATTTTGGTTTAAAATTTAATACTTAGACAATCACGAAACTGTTTTCTTGCTGTTTTATCTTTGTGGAGAGGGTTTCTGGGTTGACAAGAGATTTTGTGTTCAATTATTTTTTCCCAGTAGGGATTAGTCTTATCCTCGACTCCTTACCATGTTCCACAGCACTCCACCTCTCCCTGTAAGCCTTGCTACTCTGCCCTAATAACCAGCTTCAGGTCTCTACCACAAAAATGGGAATTCTCAGAGGGGGGACTGAGCTGTCTTTTTTTGATCTCTGCTGCTGGCACAAGGCCTAGTCAGTGGTGGTGAACCATTTGTGCCGCAGCAGGCTGTTTGTTAGCTTTGAAAGCTCATTGAAAGTTCGCCATCACTGGAGATGCTTGGTGAGAGCTAGTTGAACGAATGATTCTGAGAAGTAACTCCCTGACTACTAGAGCCCTGAAAAGAAACAGAGACTCAGGCACACTCACGGGTTTTTAAAAACAACAAATAAACAATGAAAAACCCAATGCCAAAGGGGGAATAAAAACCCAACAACTAAAAAACAATAACAGTTTATGAGACTGAAATTACTGTAGGAAACAAGCACAGAAGGCCAGTAGGTGGGGCTGGACAGAGCATTACCAGTCTCTTAAATTATGCAGGTGGCCTGGGAGGCCCAGCCTATGGAGATTGAGAGGGAAAGAGGTGCTGGAAACCAGGGATAGGGAGAGACTGGGAGCCTTCCTGCCTTTCCTGGCCCTGGGTAGTTTTAGTAATGGGCTTACTGACCTCTCCTCTCCTCTGGATAGTCCAGGCCCAGATAGGGAGACTCAGGAAACCCTAGAAGCCTGCGAGTCCCTCCACTCCATGGACACGGAGCCCTTGCAGGAGGGGGAAGTCAAGCAGTGGCCCAAAGACACAGTCATCCTCCTGGTTTTGGGATGGCGACACTGGCATCCTCAGGGGACTGGTTTGGAACCAAAGATTCTCATAGGATTTAGGACTGGGGGTGAGGCCCCCCAAGAGGGGCTGAGTAGAGTCACAGCGAATGTAGGGCCCTGGCCCTGGAGTGGTGGAGCTGCCCAGCACCTGCCCGTAAAAGACCTGGTCACTGGCGCCAGGCTGTGGCTGTGACTGGGTGGAAGCTGCTCTTGGGTCTTTCTGGAGCACATAGGCCTGGACGAGGGTAGGGAGGCCACAGGTCTCCGAGCTGTCACTGGACTCCCAGGGCCCTAGCTGCTTCTTCTCCTCCTCCTCCAGCACGGTGATCTTGGTGATGGATGTCATGCTGGGGTCCCGAAGGCTGGGCAGCTGGAAGGTCTCCTGGACACAGGGACATGGAGGGAGGGCATGGTTTTTTGAGATGTATGCCCTAGTCACTGTCCCTTCCTGAGTCAGGATAGTTGTGGGGATGTTCCTGCTGGTCTCTGACTTGTGCAGGGATGTGCTTGGCATTCACATCTTCCTATTTCATATGGAGGTGACTGAGGTTTTGAGATGGGCTGGGCTGGGATTGAGACTGAGGTCTGCATTAATCCAAAGGGAGGGGATCTTGCCAGAAGTGACGAGAAGGCCTGTGTGCTCACCCTTAGAGGGGTCTGCCTTCACTTTGAGCCTGGGCCAGAGTCCCAGCCCCATTACTCTTTCCTTGCAGGCTCTCACCTCTGCCATGGTGGTGGACACCCAGGAGCCCAGGCTGCTGTGGGCCGGGTCTGGCACGTTTGGCCACAGTGGATTCTTCCTGCTGGAGAAGGGGGCAGGCAAAGGTGGGTTCAGGTATGTCCTCCCAGCTGTCCATCCCTGGTCCCACTTCCCTTTGGTGCTCTCCTTGGAGCATAGAGGAAGAAGTGGAGGGCCAGGATTCTCAGACAGGGGCCCCAAGGCCTGGGTGGCTGGAAGGGACTTAGCTTACCCACCCCTGAAGAGCAGCTGGGTGTCGGTTCTCTCAGATGGACTCACCTGGGGCTGCAGCAGAGCCAGGCAGTCCCACAGAGAAGGATGAGCAAAACCAGGATGCCAAACACGCCCAGGAAGATGTGTAGCTCAGACTCTCCTGGAGTGAGGGGAATACGAGGTTAGAATATGAACGAGCAAGAAGGCTGAGATCCAAGGGTGAGGCTGGGTCTCCTCCCTCAAACCAGGGGATCTAGAGGCAAGCTCCTGTCTACTCTCAAAATTGGGATCCTTTGTGTGGGGCACCCTCCCATCAGCTGTCTCTGCCCAGTACCCCTGTCCCCTTACCTTGGGCCAAGGTCATCAGGGTGAGGCTTGTACTATTGGTGGCCCCGGCCTGGCTGGTGGCCATGAGGTGGACATGGTACAGGGTGGAGGGCTTCAGGCCGTGCAGAACAAAGCCATGGAAGGAGGCGTTCAGGATGGTGGCTGGGGGGTGGGGCGTGTGGTCAGCCTAGGCTGGGACGCTGAAGCTGCCTTGGTGGCTGCTGAGCATCCCCTCCTGGACTTTCTGGGGCTGCAGGGAACTGAGGATAGACTCACAGAAGGATTGGTCCTGCATGTTGGTGCAGAAGACGGTGTAGTGGGTAAGGGGGCTCTTCCCCAGCTCAGAGGGCTCCGGCACCCACTCCAGCTGAGCCCAGGTCTTACCAATGTGCTTTAGATGCAGCACTGGGGTGCGGGGAGGGGCTGTGGAAGAGAAGAACAGAAGCTGAGGGAGTGCGCAGGGCAAAGCCTGCACCCAGGAACTGGGACACATTATGGGTTGGTGAGAAAAGAGGGTCTTAGGGACTTCCCGGGGATTTTTTGTTGTTGTTGTTTGTTTAGGTCTTTCGAACTAAGGTCTCACTGTGTTGCCCAGGGTGACCTTGAACTCATGATCCTCCTGCCTCAGCCTCCCGAGTTACAGGGATTATAAGTGTGCACCACCATGCCCAGTCTTCCCAGGAATTTTATCTCAATTTCATGTGCTGCTTATAAGTGGCAGAGCATGTATTTGAATTCAGTTGCTTGACTATAAATCCTCACTCCTTGATTCTGCCAGGCCTGATTTTGTCTGGCTCACTATCTGATTTCTGCCACTCTCTGAATTTATGCCAGGTGCTCTGTCCACTTCCTATCAGATGTCACACTTGACTTCTGTCAGAGGTATCAATCAATTTTGCTGGAGTTGCTCCCTGAATTCTGGCAAACTCATTGCCCAGTTTGTATTTTGATTTTGATCCAGTTGCAGGGGTCTGAGTGAGCCAGGGGTAATCTTAGGATTGGGAGTGACCCTCTTCAGGGCCAAGAGCTAGGGGAGGAAGAAAATGTTCCCTCAGATTCCTGATCTCTGGAGCCCAGGCTGGGGGAGAGAGGAGAGGATTCTGGAAACGAACCCATTTCTTGGGAGTAGACATAGACGTTCTTGGGGTGTCCCATGGTGCTCTGATACAGGGGAGTCACAGTGATCTCGTAGAGCTGAAAGGGCCTGATGTTCTCTATGGAGACAAAATGGGGTGGGGACTGGTTAGGGGCCAACCTCTGGGGGGTCGGGAGCCAGCCTCAGAGTTCTAGTCGGGGCTAACCTGGCCTCATGATGCAGGGCTCATCTCTGCAGTCTCTCCTTCCGATCATTTCATGGGGGCTAGGGAGGAGAAATGGGAAGGAGCTGGGGGTGTGGTGGTGGGAGTGTCAGAGGTGCAGAAAGAGAGGATCAGGCTGGACTGTTGGAAGAACTTCCTGACTGGGAGGCTGTGAGGTGAGAACAGTGAAGACTCAGGGAAGGCTTAGGTCTCTGCTTCTCTAGGGCTGTTCAGGCCACCCCATGCCTATGTTAGACCGTTTCCCTACTCTTCCCACTCCCTGCCTCCCCTCCCCCAGCTCCTCACCCTGCAGCAGAGTCTCCGTGATGCTCCCATTGGGTTCCAGCCTCCAGGTCATGTTGGTGCTGCTGGGGCTGGGGGGACTCAGGCCCCATTCAATCACATAGCCCTGAGGGACAGGGCTGGGGGCCTCCCAGCACACCCAGAGGCACTGAGGGTCTCGGGCCATGGCATGGAGTCTGGCCAGGGCTGGGCCTGGAGACAGTGGGAGACGGTGGAACGAAGGTGAAAAGAATGCAAGCCCTAGATCCAGGAGCCTAGGTTCAAATCCTGACTTTGCTGCTTACAAGCTGGGTGTCCTTGGGTAGGTCAACACCTGAGCCTGTTTCCTCATCTGTAAGGTGGAAGTGATGATGATAAAATTTCCTGTCTCGTAGGGTCTTAGTGCAGGTTAAATGAAATGATGCACAGAACAAGGCTAACGTAGTGCTTAGAACAGAGTAGTTCTTGATGATAACGGTGGGTACCAAATAGCTCCTGGTATGTGCCAGGCACAATCCTTGATATATATTAATTCCCTGAGTCCTCTAACAGTCACACCAGGGAGGTACTACTATGGTTCCCATTTTATGGATGAGGAAAATGAGAGACAAAGAGAGGTTAAATAGTTTATCAAAGGTCACGCATCTTATAAATGGGACTCTTAGCTGTTACTGTTGTTATTGTGATTATAAATCCACCTTGTGAGGACCCATGTTTAGGGACACTGGGGGTGGTGGTGAGTGTTCCCCTAGGGTAGTGGTGGCGAATCTATGGCTCCAGTGCCGCATCGGGCTGTTTGTTATCATTGAAAGCTCCAAAAGGTTTGCCATCCCTGCTCTGGAGGGAGCAGTTCACCCATGGACCATGTTCTAGCTGGAAAAGCTTAGAAATTTCTCTCTCAGCTTTTGGGGCAGAATTGACTCTGTGTGTGTGTGCACACATGTGAGTGTGTGTGTGTGTGTGTGCACATACACATGCATATAGGTAGGTACCACCACCAGCCTAACCAGGTCTGGCTGATGATAATAATGGCTGACATGCAGTTACTTTGTGTTAACTCCTGTCACCCTCCGACAGCCCTTCGGAGGCACTGTTATGGTTCCCATTTGCTAGACTTTTGAGTAGACAGGGTGAGGAGGGAAGAATCTTCTCCAGGCCATGCTGTTAGCAAGTGATGGCCCCAGATCTGAAGCCAGGCAGTTTGGCCTCCGAATTTACATGCTCACCCTACTCCCACCCCATACCATGCTGCTCTTCTGGCTACCAGTCCCCTTTACCTTTGCTCTCCAGAAAGACCACTGGGGTGGGATGAGAGGTCCCAGCTCTGTTGTAGGCCACAAGAGTCACCTCCCCGGCCCCAGAAGGCAGCTGGAAGGTGCAGCTCAGCTCTGTGGTGTTGCAGAGGAGCAAGACTGGCCCGGCGTGGCCTGGGGTGCTCCAGGAGAGCAGGTACCCTTGGATCTGTCCGCTGTCTTCCTCCAGGGGTGTGGGCTGTGGCAGGCAGAGGAGGAACATGGTAAGGAACGTGCAGCTCATTGTGAGTGGGGGAGCGCCCCAGATGGTGAAGAACGGAGCCTCCCCCTGGCAGTCAGGCATCTTCCCTCCCCTCCTACGCTCTGTGCCCCTGTGCCAGGTTGTAGGAGGGAGGGAAGGAACTGACCCTTTGGGGTTTAGCTGAGTCCCATGTTGGCCCCTCTCCAAAAGATCACTATTCAGCTTCCTTGGCATACACCAGTTGCACGAAAGTCACATATAAATGCCAAAGCCCCCCAAGCCCTGTTGGAGTCCTGGGGTCCAGCTGCAAGGGAAGGGTCCATGTGGGGTAGAGGAGGTCTCAGGGTGGAGGGGTTGCTTTCTGAGGGGTTACCTTCCAGAACAGCTGCACCTGCTTGGTTTTGGGATCCAGCTGCCTTTGCCGCCACCACGTGTCCAGTCTGACGATGGGGGCTATGGATAGAAGGAGCAGAGAGGGTGCTTATTGGGGAGGCCCTGGGGACTGGACTGGCTTCTGATGGCCACTCCCAGCCCGTCGTTGCCCGCTTACCCCCTTGGGTGGTTTGAAGCTCCAGGCTGGGGCTCCAGGTGCTCCAGTGGCCAGGCAAGGGCCAGCGGATGCAGCGCATCTGCAGGGCATAGGTTGTGGCTGGACGGAGCCCACAGAGCTCGTACCGGGTGGTGCTGGAGGGCAGGGGGGCCACCTGGCAGGGGAGGGGCATGACTCTGAGCCTAGTCTCTGAGCTCTGCCCTTGGCCCCCATCTCAGGCCCTTGAGGTAGCTTCTGGCCTCACCTGTGCCCAGCTGGCTTCTCTTAGCTGTGGCCGGTAGCGCAGCTCACACTTCTGGTCCATGTAAATGCTGGGCTTCCATGGCTCCCAGCGCAACCACAGGCAGTCTGGCTGGGGTAGGGCCATCTCAGGATTGGGGTCCAGGGCCATCAGTGTGGGGGGCTCCAGTTTTACTGCAAGGAGTGGGGTTATTAGGCCTCTACCTGCCCTAATGCCCTCTTGTCTCCCTGTTTGTGGCTCCATTTTCTTCCTGGGTGTCCATCCATGCTGTCTCTGTATCTTTACTGGTGTGTGTGTGTGTTTGTGTGGGTGAGTTTTCATCTCTGTCTATGTTGCCAAGTCTCTGTGGTTCTGTCTGTGTGTATATGTTATGATTTCCTCTAGGTCTCTATTTCATGCTCCTACCCCAGGGCCTTTCCACTGGTTGTTAACTCTGCTTGGTACAGTTTCCTGCCAGATACCCAGTGGCTTGCTCCCTCAGTTCCTCTTAGGGTATAATTAATGGTCACCTTCATTGCCATCTGACATTCTATTTTATTTATTTTGCCCACCAGAATGTAACATTCCTTTTTTTTTTTTTTTTTTGAGATGAGGTCTTTCTATACAGTTCAGGGTAGGCTTGAACTCACTATGTAGCCCAGGCTGGCCTCAAACTCATGATGGTCCTCCTGACTCAGCCTCCCCAGTCCTGGGATTACAGGTGTGTGCCACTGTGCCGAGCTGTAACATTCCTAAAATGGGATTTCTGATATTTTGTTCATTGCTGTATCCCCAGGATCTTGAACAGTACCTACTACACAGTGGACCCTTCAAGAAATTGTTTGAAAGGAAGCATGAATGTGCTCCCAGCCTCTGTGTCCCCATGCCTCTGTCTCCAGCTGCACTCTCTTTGTCCCTGTCTCTCTTCTCTGCACTCTGTCTGGTTCTGCCGGGCTCGTGTAGTCTGTCCCTGGGCCTGTTTCTCTCTCTGTGCCTCTCTGGCTCTGCCCACGCTGGGAGCCTGTCCCCTCCACACCCGGCATCACCCACCAACGTCCATGGGGTCAAGGCACAGCTGTGGGGACAGGCTGGTCCCCAGCGCATTCTCTGCCTGCACCCAGATGACCATGTTCTGGTACAAGAGCAGGTGCTTGCGTGGGATGGAGCAGGAGCTCTGCCCGGCAGCAGGCACGCAGTCCTTGATGGGGTCCTCCTGGGTCTGGCAGTCGCCCCGGCTCCTATCAACAGGCCAGGCTTGGTGCCAAGCAGAAGAGGAAAGCGAGGCTCCCTTCTCCTTCCCATGCCCACCATCCTATGAGTGCCCCTCCCCAGGACTCCGAGGCAGGGGGCTGGGCTGGGGGCCGCACTCACTTGAAGCTTTTCAGGGTGAAGTTAGTGGGCAGGTGGGTGTCAGGTCCTGGCTCCCACTGGCAGATGAGGCTGTTGCTCGTGAGGTTCATGAGGCAGGACAGGTTAGAGGGCATGGCTGGAGGGTCTGCAGGGAGTGGGAAGGATGTGAGTGAGGCCACAGAAAGCTCTCCCTGGGGCCAGTGGCCTTGTTTCCTAGCTCGGACCCCTATGGGGCCACCTTGTCCATCCCCCAGTCTCTATGCAGTGTGACTGGAGAGGTGGCCCTGGGGGAAGCCAAGTACATCCTGGGGGATGTACAAGCATCACAGGCCCCAGACCCTGGCACTCCCATCTCCAACCCGACCCCAACTCTGATTCCTTTGTCAGTGACAGTGTAGTATCTGAGTTTTCATTGTTAACAGTGTGATCTTAAAATTACTTATCTGCTTGGTGCCTCAGTTTCCTCATCTGTAAGCAGGGGTAATGGTAATACACCTGCCTCCTCCATTTGTAAGGGATAAAAGACTTATATATAAAGTGGGCTTGGGCCGGGGATTTAGCTCAGTGGTTCTACCTCCTGCCTCGAAAGCACAAGGTCCCAAGTTTGAGCCCCAGAACGCCCCCCCCAAATAAAGTGGGATATACATAGCAAGTGCTATCTAGGCATTAGCTACTGCCATTATTTATTCTTTTTGTGTGTATGTGGTACTGGAGGTTGAACCTAGGGTTTTCACACTGAGCTACATTCCCAGGCCTCTTTAGCATTTAAAAAATTTTTTTTTCTTTTGGTACCAGGGATTGAATTTGGGACCTTGCACTTGTGAGGCAGGCGGTGGAACCACTGAGCTAAATCCCCAGCCCAGCATTTTAAAATTTCAAGACAGGGTCTCACTATGTTGCTAAGTTGCCCAAGCTGGGCTCCAAATTGTCATCCTCCTGTCTCAGCCTCCCATAGTGCTGGGATTATTGATTTTGTGCCACAGTGCCCAGCATGTGCCAGAATGCCCAGCATCTCCCTACGTAGGTCAGGCTGGCCTTGAACTCACTATGTAGCCCAGGCTGGCCTCAAAGTCACAGCCATCCTCCTGTCTCAGCCTCCTGACTGCTGCGATTACAGGTGTGCACCATAGCCCGTTTATCTTTTTTTTTTTTTTTTTGAGAAAGGGTCTTACTATGCAGTTCAGGCTGGCCTTGAACTTGTGTCAATCCTCCTGCCTCAGCCTCCCCAGTGCTGGGATTATAGGTATGCACCACCAAGCCCGGCCCTATTATTACTTCATGAACAAGAGCCCTGGTCTTTGGTTTCTCTTTGTGTTTCAGCTTAGCACCAGCTCCAACCTGCTGCATTTTAAGAGAAGGCTGAGGAGGTGTGGGGCAAAGCTGGGAGCAAGTCTGGATGGGGAGATGTCCTCCCTGCATCCCTATCCAATGGCTGAGGAGCTTGGCTTTCTCAGTAGTCACATGGAAGACTGTGACTGGTTTCAGAGCCTTGCTGCCTGGTAGAAACCTTGGCTCCATCTTTATTAGCGTGTGACCTTCGGTGAGTCACCCTCCCTGAATGTCAGTTTCTTCATCTGGAAAATGGGGCTTGTAGCAGTAGGGACAAGTCCCTGACCCTGTGCCCATCAGGTGCCTATTGAGCAGGAGCTCGGTAAGCTCTTGGCAGAGTGGGTGGATGGCTGGAGGGACTTACAGCCTGCCCACAGCTCAGCTTGGTCCAGGAGTTGCAGGCTGTTGCTCCAGTTCAGGTAGCAGAGGAGAAAGGTGTGAGTGCTGTTGAGGTGTGGCAGGGTGATGGTCGATTTCTGGGACCCATCAGGGTGGCTCTGCTGCCTCCCCCTGTGCTGCAGCAGCTCTGCTCCCAGCTTCCATAGGATCTGTGGCTCTGGATCCAGGTGGCTGCAGCTCTGGGTGACAGTGCAGGAGGCTGTGACAGGGTCCCCCAGGCGCATGACATGAGCGGAGATGCTGATGTGTCCGCAGTTCTCCAAGCCTGGGGTGGGAAAGAACAGGCCACAAGGAACTCCTCCGCTTGGCTGATCTGGGTGAAGTCTAGGCCTTGTACCCCTAGACTTGGGGGGCCCTCACCTGCCTGCCTCATCCTTCCAGACATGGGGCTGGGCTGGGAAGGGTTGATATTAGTGAGGCAAGAGGCTGTGGGAGTGGGACAGAGATAGCAATGTGCTGGTAGATGGTTGTCGACTGGCTCTAGGGAGAGAAACAGGTCCTGATTTGCAGTGGGTGCTGCTTCCCATGCTAGAAACACTCCAATCACGCCTGAGTTCCAGCTGCGAATGTGCTCTCATTGAATGAATGCAGAGTTGGGAAGGGATGTGCACTCAATCCTGAGAGTGGGTTCTAGCTCCCCACCAGAGAGAGGCTGCTCCCTGCCCCAGCGCCCTCCCCGAGGATGGTGAAAGCAGTGATCTCAGTGATAACAACCCCTCAGCCACAGAAACCTTTTGAAAACTTAAATCTGATTGTGTGGGCCCAGCTTGATCAGGGTACTTCCAATGCCCATCACTGCTCTGGAAGGCGATGCAGTGTGATGGGCCAGAGCTCCCCTGGAGCAGATGGCTGAGATCCTGGATCCGTGCCCGACTCATTATGTGACCCAGGTGTGTGGTACTGAGACTCTACACCTTGCTCTTCTCACCTGTAACAAGCAGGCCCTACCTTAGAGTTGCTGGAAGAACAAGATGTGACAACACATGTAAGGAATGAGGAACAGTGGCTGGCTTGGGGGACAAAGGCCCAGATCCACCACAGCGCCCTGTGGTCTGGCCCTGCCCCTTCTCTCAGCTGCAGCCCTGTGGGCAGGTGAGCTTTTGCTCCTGCTGCTCCCCTCTGAGCTGCTCCTTTCCCTTTCACCTGGTTAACATTTGCACTTGTTGGGGAGCCAGATGCCCTGACCAACCAGAACAGGTCAAGGCTCTGTCCTTTCTCAAAGCTCTTGTTTTCCTTTGCCATTATAGTCATAAATGTGCCCTTTTCTGTCTGTCTCCCAGGTTCTGATTTTTTTTGAGACAGGATCTCACTAGGGAGCTCAGGCTGGCCTTGAACCTTTGGTGATCCTCCTTCCTCAGCCTCCCGAATCCTGGGATTATGAGCATGCTCCAATTCTAGGTTTTGTGCCAGAGACTGTGACTGTTTTGCTCCCTGTGCCTGGCAAGGAAAGGGTTTTTGGGGACTATTTCTTGAATAAAGAAGTGAGTCAACATGCCCTTGGCCTATAATGCCTTCATTCTTCTCTCAGGTGTTCTTAGAGCCATTTTATGGAGGGGGTTGCAGAGGCCCTAAGAGGGGATAGCAGTTGGTCCAGAGTGACGGAGCAAGTTCACAGACTCAGAATTTCAGGCTGTAAGGAAATTTACAAGGTGTTCACTTCAAAACTCCATCTGATGCTGTGTATTCTATGGCAAGGGTTGGGTGGCTTGTTATTACGTGGTGTGCTAGGTAAGAATGCTTTATATATTTATTTCAAGGGCTAAAAACAAATAAAATCTGGGTAAGAATGACAGATACTGTATGTGGCCTGGAAAGCCTAAATGTTACCTTCTGTCAATCCTGGCTTCAGCCTTGCTTGCTCTTGTATTTTTTTTTTTTTTCGGTACCAGGCATCAAACTCAGGACCTTGCACTTGCAAGGCAGGCACAGTGCCATTGAGCTATATCCCTGATCCTCTGCTTGTTTACTCTTGGAGATGGGCTACTTTCCACCTCTTAAGACAGTAAAGGGGTTGGAGAGCTTCCTTACTTCAGGGTAAAACCTGTTTCCTTGTGGCTTCTTCTACCAGGATCCTTTTGCCACCCATCAAGGCTGCACAGGACCCAGAGGTTCGTTCTGACAGCTGGCAGAGGTTTGCAGTAGAACTTAGATGCCCCTGCCTTTGCCCAGCTGCTCAGCTCCCTCCTCTCGCCATCCCTCTTGGTGGGCGAGGCCTGTGGGTGGGAGCCCAGCTGCCTCCCATCTGTCTTGGTCTTGAGCCTCTTGGGATTTTTGGGGATTCCCAGGAGCTATGTGGCAATGCAGGGGCCCTCTCCCCAGTCCCCTCCACCACCACACTTACTTCTGGGAAGGAAGAGGATGATCAAGGCTGCTCTGGTCAGGCTGCAGGCTCCCAGCCCTGCCATAGTGCTAGCTGGTGCTCACCTGGAGACAGAGCGGTTAAGGTCATGGCTTTGGACTTGGAGCTGAGCTTCATCCTTTTTTTTTGGTACCAGGGATCGAACTCGGGTCCTTGCGCTTACGAGGCAGGCGGTGGAACCACTGAGCTAAATACCAGGCCTGATCCTTGCTCTGCTACAGTGCAGTCTTGCTAGTTTACTTGGCTTCTCTTATCCTTAGTTTCCTTTCAGAAATGAAGATAACAGCAGACTGCACTGAACAGGGCTTTGGGAAGATGACATAATTATGCAGGTCAAGGGCTTTGGGTTGTGCCTGGCACATAGGAAATGACTCCATGGCCACCACCATTATCATACCTGGATCCTGGAATGAGCAGGGAAGGGAGCAGGAGGAGCAGCATGCTGGCCCCTTTCCTCCTGTCTAAGCTGGGCTCTCTCCAGAAAGCCACACCTAAAACAAGTTTCATGCAGGCAGTGTGTTCTGGGAAGATCCCAGAAGCAGGTGAGGAGAGGAGGGGAGAATGAAACAGGGAGGGGAGGAAAGCCAACACAGGGTGGCATCACTGGCTGGCCGTGGAAGATGAGTCTGCACCGTTCACAGAGGGACAACTTATCCTTGGATGGGAGGAGCACAGGGATACTTATCCAGCAATTCCTGCCCAGTGGTCAAGGGGTGCCCCTCGGGGTGCTAACTCCCCAGTAAGTTTAGGCTGGACATCCATGAGTACCAGGCAGGTCCTCCTGGGTGGGCCACACCGAGCACCTCAGTGACACTGCCCCAGGAGCCCCACAGCCAGCCAGCAGGGGGCTGCCAGGTGTCACCTTCAGGAAGCTGGCTGCCACAGCAAAGGCTAGAGGAAAGGGGGGTTGGGAGGAGATCACTGGGGACACAGGGGGACCAGCAGACCCCACCTCTGGGAGCAGAGCTCTGGAGGTCTGCTGGGGGCCAGTGTGATGCGGCCATGGCCATAGTCCCCAAATAGGAGCCCTGACTTCTGTCTGAGGAAGTATGCAGTGATTCTCTCACTGTGGTAGAGTCCGGCTGAACCCTCAGTCCTGCTCCCACTGGGGTCTTGGGGCCTCCAGCACTCCTCGGTACTCCTGGTGGCAGGTGTGTGGGACCTGCTGGCTGTCACGCCTGGGTACACATGTGCACATGGTGGCCAGCAGACCCTGTGCTCAGCAGGAAGAATGCCAGGAAGATCTTTTTCTCTTCCTCCCAGACAGAGGTTTGAATGAGCAGCCCAGATGTCCAAAGCTGTCCCTGCTTGCAGGAGCCTGTCCCCAACCCTCAGTTTATCATGTACTGCAGTATTAGGACACTGGTGCCCACAAGTCACCACTGTGCAAATCAGAAAAAAAGCACCCCTGGTGCTGCTCCATATTAGAACCTAGTAATCGGAGAACAGGTTAGATTTCAGCCTCCACCAGGCAGATTTGTGCGGTAAGAAACCTGCACAACTGTTCAGATAATTCCTTTCTACTTAATCAATGGTTGGTAACTTTCTTACTACTGTACACCAGTTTGATTATCACCCTACCTGCTTCCCTTCACTGGTTGGGGAAGATTTAGCTTTCTAGGTCCAGATTTTGGAACGTCACTGGTTCCCGTCTCCATATATTTGTGATAATACCTTGGTCCTGCTGCCCTAGCAAGGGACAGCTTCAGACCAGTCAGGTACCCCCTTATCCTGCCCCATTGGCTTCTGTCCAGAGTGGGGAGCCAAACCTCGAGAGGCCCAACCATCCTCCCCTGGTCGCTGGGTGCTGGCATGTGTGGCATCAGGCCTTGTTGTGCCCCACCAGTGCTGGGTCTCCCCCAGCCCAGTGTGTGGGAGCTGGTGTCCGTGGGAGCGTGGTTTTACTCTGGTGGGGTGGGGTGTGCAGTACACAAAGGGGTTGGGAGCCCACTGTGAGCCAAATCGCCTGCCCTGCCCTGCGGCTCCAGCACTTACCAGCTTTGTGACCTTGGACAAATTACTTCACCTTTCCAAGCCTCGGTTTCTCCATCTGTGAAAAAGAGGTAACAATAGCCCCTGATTCTGGTGGCTGTTGTGACAGTGAATCAAGGTCATTTGAATGGAGGCCCTCGGAGCTCTGCTGGGCACAGCCTGTGCTCCCAGCGACTGCAGGCTATTTCCACGAGCCACAAAGCAGGGCTTCCCTCTTGGACCCCAGCATGGCTGGTGCCCCCAGCTGGGCTTTGAGGGCACAGCCTACTATGACTGCTACCTTATTTCTGTCTGTGTCACACTACCCAGTCTCAAAGCCCCATTTCTGAGCTCTACTTTTAACTCCTCGGTCCTCAGTCTGTCTGTGTTACCTTGACATCTCTGCTTGGCCCGAGGCTGCCTGAACCTCTGTGCCCAGCACATCTGGTGCCACCTACAGTCGCTACCACCCCCTCTCTTTCCTCCCATTATACCCTCTTCCCCCTTCCTTCTTTCCTTCCTTCCTTTTCCCTTTCCTTTCTTCCTTGCTTTGCGGTACTGGGGATTGAACCCAGGGCCTCTGTACTGAGCTACATCCCCAGCCCCTTTTTATGTTTGAGAAAGTTACTAAGATAAGTTATCTGGGATGTACTTGAACTTTTGATCTTCCTGACTCAGCCTCCCAGAGTGTTGGGATTTTAGGCATGAGCCACATCACCTGGCTACTTCCTTGGTTCTTTTGAAATTCCTTCTCTGGGAATAGGTAGGGAGGGGGGAGGGGCTGGGACTAAATAAAGGGACAGGGACTTCCCAGGTGTGGGAGGGACAGGGAGATGAGAGAGAGAGAGAGAGAGAGAGAGAGAGAGAGAGGCTGAGATATATACACAGTGGGATATTAGAGACCTACTTGAATTACAAATTGAGACCTTGTTTTTAAAAAAAAAAAAAAGAAAAAAGAGCCCAAGAAACACGTGTGCTGGGCTGGAGGGGCTAAGGCTTGGAGGCCTGGAAGCAGACTGGTTCCAAGCAGTAACGTTGAGAGGCAAAGGGAGGCACAGAGATGGAGAGAGGCCCAGAGAGCCTCTGAGACAGACGGAAAGTCACTCAGGAAACAGCCAGAGAGGGGCTGAGGGGCCCCTCAGAGATGGAGAGAGGGAGAGACAGAAGATGGACATGCAGATGAACGGGTTCTGAGAGACAGAGACACGGAGAGAACGACGATGGCCATCCCCGAGCCCGGCTCTGTGTCCCCAAAGAGAGATGCGGCTGTTTGTGGCTTTCCTGAGCAACCCTCAGAGAGAGACTGTCCAAGGCTCCTGGTTGCCAGGCTCCAACCCCCAAGGCAGGAGCCCGGCCCAGGCTGAGGCCAGGACAGTGCCTGTGGTAGAGCTGGGAGTGGTCCTGGGACTCCTGGTCTCCCCTCTGCTGGGCTCAGCTTCCCGGGGGTCCCCTACTCACGCTGCAGCCCGTGTGAGGTGGGCGGGTGGGGGTGCTGGCCTCCCTTTTCTCTCCTCTCCTCAACTCTATGAGTCAAGTTCCTGAAACCTGCCGAAGTCTGACTTCTCTCCCCTGCTCTTTCGTTAATGACAGCTGGGGGACTGAGGATTGCGACACCTTCCGCGTGTTGGTGTGCTTGCTCGCTCTCGGGCAGCCCCTTCCTCCCAGGAAGGAGCCCTCAGGGAAACTGGTGAGGCCCAGCAGCCTTCCTGCCTCAGGGGTCTTAAAGGGCCGGGGAGTGTGGCAACAGTGCCCCCTCCCCTGCCTCCGGATTTCCTGAGGCTGGAGCTTCCTTCGAGGCTCCAAGCTGGCTGGGTGCCATCCTGTGCCCCCTACCCTGGGGGAGCTCCAAGGCTCCCTCAGCCCCCAGCCTCTTTCCACATGGGTCTTGATCCTCAAGGTTTGCAGCAGCAGGGAGATTTATTGCACAATGTGCACTGTGCCCTGTCCACTCCATCCTGGCTGCCACTGCCCACAGGCTGGGCTGATGGAGAAAGGGGATTTGGGGGCCAAAATAAGGTGTGTCCTGGGGGCTTCATCCATGCACCAAAAATTTCTAACATTTACTCATAGGGGATCTGTTACACTGAATATTTTCTAATTGGGGCAAATGTATTTCTTTTGCCGTAGGTTGTTTGTATCGATGATTCCCCTGCAGTTGTTTACGAATACTTTTCCGAGGAAGGCCTAGGCTGCTCAGGGTTGACCAGATTCATGACCCAGTAAAGGCACCAGCAGGCTGTCAGCATGTTGGTGACCTGTGACTCTTTTAGGGAAAGTGGGCTTCCGTGTCCAGTGTGGTGGGATTGGCCTGGGCTGCAGCTCTGGCTCAGGTGCCTGCTACCGTCTCCCAGACATGTCCCCCAGCTCTGCAAGCTCAGCAAATCCCAATCCCATTGACTCTTTTCAGAATAGAATCGGAATCCTGGGCATTACAGGTGTTCATAGGAAAACTCAGCTTGGCTATATGGATATTTTCATGATAATGTGTTGGAAATATAAATGCCACTTATGCCAAAACTGGCTCTGTTGAAGCCACGCTTCTCTCTTGCAAGGACTGTTACAATAGCTTCTTCCCTGGTCTCCTGTGTCCATACATACTTGTCTCTCTGTCTACTACTGTCCCTTTAGTAGCCAGTGTAGTATTGATCAAACAGAAGTCAGATCATGTCACCTTCTGCCCCAAAGCCTAAAACGTCTCCCATCTTGCTTAGAGTCAAACTCAAAGCCCTTTCAGTGCAAGGCACTCCCATTACTTGCCAGACCCCTCTCTTGGTATTCTATTCTTCCTTTTACTGATTTGGTCCAGTGACTCTGTTTTCCTTGTTTCTTGAACTTGTTAGGCAGCCCCAGGGCCTTTGCACTTGCTGTGTCTTTGGCCTGGGCACCCCTACCTCCAAATAGCCACCTGGGATTATTTCCTTCCCTTCTTCAAGTTTTTGTTCAAATGTCACATTCTCATTGATGTCTTCCCTGAGCAGCCTTTTAAAAAACTCCAACCTCTCCTTTTCTCCCTATCTCTCTTCTCCTGTATCCCTTTTCACTATCTGATATTTGCTGTCCCCACCTCCATGGGAATGGATATTCCATAAGGGCAACCATATTTAGAACTTTAGCTCCAGGGTCTACAGCTCTGCCCATCACACGGTGAGCCCTCACCCTCAGTACATGTTTGTTGAATGAACAATTGAATGGAGGAATGTTCCTCCCACTTCATCAGCTCTGTCCCCAGCCCCTGTGGTTGTCATCTTGGTGAATTAGGATCCCTCCCCCAGGTCAGCCACTGCACGGACCCAGATGTCACTCCGTCCATCATGTCCCTCCTGTGCCCACACCTGATCAGTTCTTTGGCCATCACTTGGAAGACCCGCTTCTTGAGCAGGTTTGGGGCGCCATGGTGAGCGAGGGGGGTTCCAGGGAGCCCCATGTCTGTCTCTGCGGTCGCTCTGCAGGTCATCTCCTCTCCTTGCCTCTCAGCAGAGGTCTGCATCTCATCCTAACTTTTTTTGTGTCTGGGAATTGAACCCAGAGCCACTCTGCCACTGAGCTACACCCCTAGCATTATTTATTTATTTATTTATTTGGTACTGGGGATTGAACTTGGGTCCTTGTGCTTGTGCAGCAGGCGTTGAAACCACTGAGCTAAATCCCTGGCTTTATTTTTTATTTTAAGACAGGGTCTCACTAGATTATGCTGATTGGCTCCATCTTGCCATCTCTGTTTTAGCCTCCTGAATAGCTGACATGTACCACCACACCTGACTCACCTTGACTTCTTAATGAGACAGGCAGGCTGTCCCCACTTCCCAGATGCATCACCCCATGGTCCAATCAAGCTGATCCTCCATTCCCTTGCCAGCCCCAGGTCTGTACACCTCTGTGCCTCTGCTCTTGCCCACTCCATCACTTCTGCTTGGCTGGGTCCTATTCCTGACCCAGCTCAGGCATTCAGCCTGTGCGAAGGTTTTGCCAGCTTTCGAATCTTAGCCTCTCTGTGCCGGGTGCTCCCTTGTCATTAATCCCGTAACACAGCAGTGAGCTGTTGGCTGTGCCTCCTCTATCAGACTGTGAGCTCTTTGAGGGCAGAGACCACATCCTTGTCTCTGCCTCCCCAGCCTCAGCACAGTGTGAGGTACATGGAAGATACTCAGTACATCTCCACGGGGCTCAGAATTTTGGAGAAGTGGCTTATCCTCTCCAAGCCTCAGTTTCCTTATCAACCACAGGAATGTCAACTTCTCCCCGGTTTTGTGAAGATTAAATGAGCTATCAGAAGTACTGTGTCTGGCACAGTAAATAGCACATGGTAGATGTTCGATTGAAATTGCTTTCCTTTTTCCTCACTGCACACATCAATATTTTGGAGCAAGATTTTTCTCAGCTCAGTGGTACTCCATTCTTCTTTGAGAACCTGCACCAGGAAATGGAGCTGCAGCAGCTGAAACAGAAGTAAGATTTAAGGAAATGAAAGTTAGATTTAAGGAGGAACTTTCCTTAGGGGAGAGGCATTGGAGTGTAGATAGATTAAAAACGTGGGTTGAGGAGCCAGGTTGTGTGGTTTTGCCACTTGTGTGACCCTGGATAAGTTGTTTAACCTCTCTGAGCTTTGGTTTTGCCATCTTTGAAATGGGGATCAAAGTACCATTTCATAGGATTCTTGAGAGAAAGGAGTGAAATGTAACGCTTGTGGGACAGAGCCAGGTTTAAGAAGTGTTTACTGTGGTGAAATGAAAAGCATGAGATAGATGAGGGGTCATCCCCTCCACGGCACTGGCGTCTCCTTTTGGATACTTCCTCTTCCAGCTCCCTTGCCCCTTCCCTTCCTCCATCAGACCAGACCTGTGTGGGTTGGAAACCCCTGCCAGGAAGCCCTGGAAAGTGAACCCTCTTCATGGCAGTGCAGCTACAGGGCAGTTTCTGTTATAGCTGGAGATGTGTGGAGCTGTGGAGCTGCTGGGTGGATCAGGGAGCAGCCTGATCTGGAGGGGCCAGGTGGGGCCCGGGGGCTGCCCAGGGTGTGTCTGGAAGTGGAGGCTGCGCTTGTCTGTGAGGGCCTGTTTTGGACAATCCTACTTTTTTTTT